TAAAAATGTCGAAAAGATTATTACACACAATTAGGAACTCTTCAGTGGGTTCACTATCACTGAACAATTCCATTCCGGAATTTCTACAATATTTTAGAGCCTCTGCAACACTTAAGCTGAAAAGCTGAGTAGCCAGCTTGACTTTCATTCGCTCTTTTTGAAAGTTGATGTGCCGGTTTTTTAGTTTATTGGATAAATGAAATGTTTCTTTATATTGAAGTTTATTAAGCTGAACAAGATGTCGCCAGTGAATTTTACTGCCATCTTTATTTATCAAAATGTTTTTGTGTTCAAATGCGTTTCGCAATAATTTTATCATATGACAGGGGTCGAGGACTGCAACTATCGGATCTTTGGTAATAGGATGATCAAATTTGATATCTTGTTTTTCGAAGGAGCAACCAAGATGTTCTGCCATAGAAATATTTGCAGCGCAACCATCAAAAGTTAATGCCACTATTCTAACACCAGTATCATGAGTTAGCTCAAGGCACTGTTTTACCAGAGCGGCACGCTGCTGTCCTGTAATGCCATCCACAAAAAAGAAGGCGACAGGTATTTTAAAATAGCTATTAATTGCAGTAACTAAAAATACCAAAGCTTCTTTTGCCTCTGCCAAGTGATCACTTTCTAAACCCGTTCCGATATCAACATAGCCGCGAAATTTATGTCCGTCCCATTCAATTCGGCGGCGAATGCTCATTTCGTCAAGCACTAATGTGGCTAGCAGTGGCTGTTGAAATGTATCGGCTTTAAGTTTTAGAGCCATAAAAGACTCTTTGGTAAATCCTGGCTCCCCGTCTATTTTTAAATACCACTTTTTTAGAGTATGTGAATGTGGTAGGCTTGCATGAAATATTTTGCGTACGTAGTCGTATGCTCTAGGCGAGTAATAATGCAAGGTTAGAGCGAAGCTGCGGAGAGCTGCTGAATATTTTTGTCTTGATACAACTCCAGAGTCAGCATTTTTAACTTCTCGAACAATTAATTCTTGAATCTGTAACAATTACCAACCAACATTAGTACCCTGTTTAGTTACGGCAATAAATAGTACTACCCCATCTATTCCCGTGAATGATGATATGACATCATATGAGTACCATAAAAATAACAGTCAAGTATTTATAGTTTATAATCATCATCATCATCATCATTACAGCCCTTTACAAGTCCACTGCTGAACATAGGCCTCCCCCAAAGAATGCCACAAAGCACGGTCCTGAGCCACCTGCATCCATCGACTTCCTGCATATCTTACCAGGTCGTCACTCCATCTAGTGGGGGGACGCCCTACACTTCGCCTGCCGGTACGAGGCTGCTGATAGTTTATAATACATACCTCTATATTGGTATTTTTTAAGTTGGCTAGGTTTTCCTTCTCCATGGCAAATTTATTTTGTAATGTTTCTAATAGTTCTTCAATGCTTGTTATTTTCTTCTTTAATCTTCGGTTTTGACTTTGTAATCGCTTTATCTTTAAATTCTGTTTTTTAATCTTTTCTTCGGACCATCTTAACATACGTCTCAATTTTTGTTTTCTTGGCGTTGAAAACGTTGAACTTCCCACGTCTTCGTTGACCCCAACAGTTTTAACTATTGGATGAGTTTCTAGTGCTACATAATCCTGTTCATTTAGCATTTTACTGCCTGGAATTTGCGAAAACATGTAATTCCCATTTTGTTGGTTCCTATCGGAGCTTTTGTTAGGTAGAACTTTTGTTTCTACAAAATTTTCTGCAATTGGCTCAAAATTTTGAGCTATATCTTCGATGACTTTACAGCCTATATCTTTTAAGTACTTTGATTTCACTTTTTCTTCGTTATTGTTATTATCATTTAGAATACGAGCTTTTTTAGTAGGCTGAGAATCTAAATTATCCAATTTAAGTTGTCCTTTTGAAGGCCCAACCATTGTTGTGACAATGCAATGTTTATTCTGAAACAGAAAGGATTCAGTATGAACTATCTCACATTTTATCACAAACAAAATAAAAATAAAAAACTGCTACATGGAAGTTTCGTTTTATATATTTTTACATTAAGCTCTCAAAACTTATTACTACTTAATATATGAACTAAAATAGTCTGGATTAACTTACTTCAATATAAGACAAAATCTTTTTTGTAGGTACTGACGAAGTTTTTAAATAGTGGTATCCTCGTTTCGATATTAAGAAATCACTTTCAGTAAAGTGCTCCGAGCATATGCTGCTACTTTTAAATGGCAACCAGTTTTTCCTGCCAGTTGCCTTAACCCAAGCTTCCTTGATCGAGCCATCTTTAGGAAACCTGAAAACGCACAACAGGTTGTTCTCCTTGTAAATGATTATTTACAAATTAATAATGCGTTATTTTTATGAGTGTTACTAAGTTACTTACTTCTCTGGTTTAACAACCCTAATAAAATGTTCATTCATAAGGTGACAGTATCACCCTAATATTTTTTTATATTTTCAAAGACATCCAGTATTTGCACATTTTCATTAATATGTTAGTGAATAAACGGGACGGAGATAAAAAATTATCGATTTTAATATCGTCACAACACTTTTAATTAATAACGCTTTGACAGATAAGCGTTAGAATAACGGAATAAGGTTGAATATTCGTTGAAATATAGGCAAATTCATATTTTGTCCATGTTTATTCACGTTTCTTTGCAAAAATAAATAAAATTACACGTACCTGTGGTACGAAACACCTCCATTTGAAACATTTATATTTTTACTATTGTTTCTACACTCTAATACTGCACAAAACGGCATATTTTTGCATATATTACTGAAGTAGCGACCCGTTAGTTCGCGACAAATTTAGCCTGCGACTGACAGTCAATTATGTTCTACTGTCGCTAATTGTGACACGCCTGCCCCGCCCACTGGGCTTCCTCTTGCTTTTTATATTCCGTGGTATTTCCAAAGAATGTTATTTTTTAATTCAGTGGTTGCATAGACACATAAATATAAAAACAGAACACATTGTGCTATGCTTGAAAAAAGTAGATTGAGCAGCACATTTTCTTAACTAGAGGATAATTTTGGTATATCATTATCTTATGCCAGTAAATAATTTTTAAGAAATTTACCAATATTAAGTAGTTTTTTATGACCATTCATTGTAAACTTAGACAAAAATTTAATAAAAAAGATTCTTCCTACAAATTTAGACATAACTATCATAATGTAAGCTACGTCATCTATTGTCTAGAAATCGACATACAAAAACCATCAAAGGTTCTTTATCAGGCTATGACATGGTCAGAGTACAAAAAGAGAAATACTGTGTAGTAAGAGAAACACTGTGTAGTTGAAAAAACAATACAAGTATATTTGACTCCTTCCTTGATAGCTTTCTGGCAGTCCTTATTGCACTGCATGCCGGCTCCACACTTGGCTTACATTGAGCACATTGTAAAATTACTGTATCCCATATTTCATGGATCCTTATATGGGATACAGTATCCCATATGTCAGAACTTAATCCTTTAAATAGTTTTAATCTTAATTACTCTCTTTCACAGGATTTGATCATCTTTATTAGTGGAATTTTGTTAATTATGGCAGGGCAATACTTAAATTCTCTTGAAGAGATCCAGCAAATCACACAATCCATAATCTCTGATGAAGACGTTGCCAGTCTAAATCCCATAATGGCAGGCCAATTTTACATTCCAGCACATGAAGGAAAAACATCACTTCAAATCCTGCAAGAATCTACAGAATTAACCCCCGGACTTCACACCAAATCCACAAATCAAGCGGTCTCTGACGATAATCCTTATTATCTACAAGGATATGATTCTGACTCCCAACCTCAAGCTCTTTGTGATCCCTTGAATTTTCATGAGATGGGGGAAATGTTTGAGCTGGCTAAACTATTGACTGTTTCTGAAAATCCATCCACGCTAGAAATTACAAAGTTAATTAAATCAATATCCAAAAGAAACATGAATGACTCAGATAAATTGTATACTCGGTACACCTTATTAACAAAGATAAGTGGAAATGATTGGGGATTTATAAAGGAAGTAATTGTTAGTGCCGCCCAGCAAAGCTATCATGCCTTATTAATCAGTGCGAAATAAGACACTCTTAATTGTTCCACGTTTATTGCGAGACTGCCACCGCCCGAAATCGTCTTACAATAGTTTTTCGAGTCTACCCTATATCTAAACCTAAACATACTAAATTAGAGATACTAAACTACAAACAATATACCACACCTCCACCCTTAATACAATATAAATGTCTTAAATAATAAACTTAACTAACTTTTATATAAAACTATTTTAATCTTAAACATTTATTCTATGACATAGAAATTCTCGTAACACGAGATAACCAAATTATATATATATAAAATAAATCACTATGTTAATGAAGGAAACCGTACTGGCGGATGTCTGTTTCTTACAGGGTAACGGCGGTTTAATTCGGGCTCAAAACATTGTGGTTGTATAGCATTATTAATATCAGGCGATGCCATGCCACGTTGTGCTCCCGCCGCACCTGCCATCGTGCCGGCCAACGCCGCCGGACCTTCCCCTGGGTTATTAGTGTTACTAGTTACTTTGATTAGAAACGGATTTATTAAATTACGCCTGGATGACTCTTTAATCGTGATCGTGTTTTGCAAAGGAAAATTAAACCTGTGTCTTAGCTGGTCTGCGTGTCGGTGATGTGAACTTCCATCGATGCCCAAAATTTCATAGTCAGTGCTACCTAGCCGCAACTGAACTTTTCCGTCCAACCATTTCTTACCCGTGCCGTAGTTACAGTATAAAATCTCATACCCCTCGTTAAAACACCGCTGTGACCCGCCTGCTGCCAACTGATGGCGTCTTTGCGCTGCATTAACGCGATCTGCGCGCTCCGGTTTTAAACAATCGAGTCGCATCCGCAACGAACGGCCTTGTAATAATTTTGCCGGACTTTCTCCTGTAGTGCAATGTTCGGTATTTCTGTAAACTAATAGAAATCTAAGGAGAGCCGTGTCTACGTCTAAATTCTGAGAAAGGGCTTTACAACTTTTTTACAGGTTTTAACTGCATTTTCGGCCGCTCCGTTGGACGAAGGATGATATGGAGCAGAAAACGTGTGTTGTATTGCAATGTTCTCCAAAAACTGTTTAAATTCTAAACTTGTGAAAGGTGGACCGTTATCCGAAACTAATTGTTTTGGTAAACCGAACCGAGACCATATTTCTCTTAGCGCTTTTATCACCGCTTTAGCGTTGGTAGAAGACATTTTTATTACCTCCATCCATTTAGTGCACGCGTCAATTAGGACTAAGTACGTGTTTGATGCGATTGGGCCGAAAAAATCTATGTGTAAACGGGACCAAGGACGATCTGGCCAAGGCCACGAGCGAATCGCATGGGCAGGAGGCGCGTCCGCCACCTCTAAGCACACCTGATACGACCGACATAACTTCTCTATATCTTCATCTATTCCCTGCCACCATACGTAACTGCGCGCTAACCCTTTTGTTTTAACCATGCCCATGTGTGAATCGTGCAACTCTTTTAAAACTTTAGACCTACAGACGCTCGGGATCACAACACGATGGCCCCACATCACGCAATCAAGTTCCGTATATAGTTCGTTTTTTCTGTTATAATAAGGTTTTAATTCTTTAATATCCAATTCTCCTGGCCAGCCGTCTCTTATATAACTAATAACTCTGCTTAAAATAGGATCATGTACAGTTTCTTTTTTTAGTATGTTATAGTCTAAGAGTAACGCTTCCGTCGCGAAATGCAAATACGTTTGCTCCGGTTCGTCGCTTTGTTCGCAAGAACCAGTTTCTTTATAAGTTTTTATCATACGAGATAACGCGTCGGCCGTATTACGCTCGGTACTTATAAATTCAATCTTAAAATTATATGAAGATACAATTAATGCCCAGCGCTGTAGTCTACTAGCCGTCATATTAGGAATACTATGCCCGGGATCGAAAATACTTCATCTTCATCGGAGGGATTTTACTCATTATGACTGGACAATTCCTTACTACCTCAGAAGAGATCCAACAAATTACTCGATCACTCATATCAGAAGAAGACTTAGCTGCAATAAATCCCATCATGGCTGGACAATCAGCCGTCCCAGGCTACGAGGGGAAGACATCCCTTCAAATATTGAAAGAATCCACAAAATTAAATCCAGACTTCGTGAACCCCCAAATTCAGGGCATCCCCGAGGATGACCCTAACTATACATTAGGATATGATCCAGACACTCAATCAATCAATACATGTATTGATTGACCCGCTCAACTGTCATGAGATGGAAGACCTATATGAATTGTCCAAATTGCTTAAAACATCTGAAAATCCCTCTACCCAAGAGGTTTTAAAGTTGATCAAAATAATTTCAGGATTAAACCCTAAATAAACCGGAATTACTACACACGCAATACACTTTGTTGATCAAAATTAGTGGAAACGATTGGGGCTTCTTAAAAGAGACTCTGATTACTGCAGCACTCCAGAGCTACAATTCATTTTTGTCAAGTATTAATAGTATGCTGGTGGTATACCAGCTACAACACTCCAAGACCGTCAACACGCACATAACATCCCTAGGAGGTGTCACAGACGACCTGAGAACAAATAAAAAACGGCTCGTCGACCAGCTGGAAATGGATAACCATTTCAATCGAGATTTAACGCAACAGTTAAACCACTTTACCTCAAGCATCGCACAGTACATGGAAACGTTAGAAGCGAAAATCTTAGAACTCCACCACCCCACAAGAAGAACTCCCAGATCCACAACAACCACACCAACCGCCGACTCCGAAAGCATACCTCAACAGAACCTTCCCGGGAGGATTGAGGCGATTCCCAATACCTCCAACCGCAGCCCATTCCTAAACGTATCGTTTGACAAAAACCTGAATATCATAACCTCATCTCATATGGCGAAAGCCAAACCTCTCATGTCCATATGCAGTCTACCCATAAACCCAAAAGCCATTTGCAATATTTTAAACCAAGATCTTGATCTGATTATCTCAAGTCTTACCCCCAATATGAACTTCTTTTCTGATTTTATAACTACCGACAGCAAAGAGGATAGAATAAAAATGCTCAGAGTCACCTTCGGCAACATTCCCCCCCAAGGAAAGTCAATGGATTCGGGAAGATCCTCCCTTTTAAGAAAATTAACAAATTTGAATAAAATTCTCATCACCCTTATAATCGTTTAGCTATAAGAATTCATGTATTAGTCTCTCATTAGCATAAGTTAATAATTAATTATCAAGATAGTCTGCCGTGCTCATCCTTTGTCGCTCCTGTTTTACTACCCTCGTTAAATTTTCGTTCGCAATGGCGATACCAGAGGTGCTCACGCCGCGGCCCGTGCAATCTACCACTGATGAGTCACGCTGGGCTGCTTCCATTGACGTAGCTAATTTCACTGCGCCCGTCCAAGTTAAAGAATCCTCAGCAAAAAGTCGTTGACGCATCATATCACTGCGTAGACCGCACACAAATTTGATCTCTCATATTTTCTTCCAAAGTGTTTTTGAATTCGCACGATTTTGCCAAACGTTTTAAATCCGTTACAAACTGAGATACTGTTTCGAAAACGACTCTGCCTACGTTGGCGAAACTTATAGCGCTCTGCTAGAATTGACGCTTTTGGTTGCAAATAATCGCTCATTATTCTTACAACATCGTCGTATTTCATTTTAGCGGGTTTAATTGGGCTGCACGTGTTATTCATCAGTTCATATCCACTTTCGCTAACCACAGATATCAACGTTGGTACCTTTAATTCTTCCTCGACGCCGTTAACCAAAAAAATACATTCCCAACCTTTCACAATATGAACTCCAATTACCATTTGAAACATCGGATTCTCCGATTCTACCCATGTTTGCCATATTTTATTATGATAAAATTCCTCGTCGCCACTGCGAAATAAGACACTCTTAATTGTTCCACGTTTATTGCGAGACTGCCACCGCCCGAAATCGTCTTACAATAGTTTTTCGAGTCTACCCTATATCTAAAGCTAAACATATGAGATACTAAACTACACACAATATACTACATCCAGTATGGTAGGGATGCTCAAAATGTATCAATTGCAACATGCAAAAACTGTCAACACTCAAATCACCTCCTTAGGCCATGTAACAGACGACCTTAAAACTAAAACAGAAATATTAACAGATCAGAATTTGACAGCGAGCATAGCACAATTCATGGAAACTCTAGAAGCCAAAACTCTGGAACTCCATCATCCTGTAAGAAGAACCCCAAAATCTGCCACAACAACCCCCACCACAGACTCAGTGAGCTCTCCACAACAGAATCCCCCTGGCAAAATAGAACCCATCCCGAGCACCTCATATAGAAATGCGATTATCAAGGTTACGTTTTATCAAAACCTCAACATTACATCTTCCGCTAGCACCTCACAAGCAAGACCTCTTGCCAGCATCTGTAATCTTCCCATTAAACCCAGGATTGTTTGTAATATTCTAAATCAGGACATCAATCTCATTATCCAAACTCTGAACAACAATTCAACCTTTTTCACCAAATTTTCAGATACAACTCAGAGAGAGGACAAATTTAGGATCCTTAAAGATACATTAGGCGACATCCCCTCTCGAGACGGTCAATGGCTAAGGGAGGAAACAATCTCAATGATCAATTGACTCATGCAAATGTCAACAATACAGTTCTTATAATACATTCAATTTAAGGCCTTTAAAGGATTGTCTATACTTACACCAGATCAAATAAAAGAGAATACTGCCTTTTTAATCTGTAATTTAAACCTTTTTTCTGTATTTTTTATTATTATTTTATGTTAGTTGATTAATCTCATTTCATAACTTTTAGTAATGTAAATTTAATATCATACACACCTAATGGTTTGGTTAATTATGTTTCTCAAGGGTTCGGGGGTAGAAGTGATGTTACCATAGTAGAAAACTGTAACTTTCTAGACGCATTACAATAGGGAACTTGCATTTAGCTGACAGAGGCTTCAAGCACCTTGAACAGATACTTAATGAAAGGGCATGAAACTATTAAGGCCACCCAGTGTAAATGCTGATGCAAAATTATCAACAACTGAAGTTCGATAAACTAAACTAATTGCTAGCTTGCGAATTTATATTGAAAGGACAATTAGGCGAGTAAGAGAATTCCATTTGCTAAAGCAACATTCAGTGATAACTACGAACATAAATGTCGTGTACTTGATCATGTTATTACGATAGAACTGTAGAAAATTCTGTTCAAGTAACAAAAAAAGGAAATATATATTTTAGGAGCAAAGCTGTGCAAACTAGATGCCAAAATAAAATATTTCTACCTCACCACTCAAAGCTTCTACAGTATCTCGTTTCACTTCGCCAATTAAGATAAACCAGGCCATCTTTAACGGTTACAGCCAGAAGTGGCTAAAGCACTTAAGAGAAATATTTTCCTTGACGATGAAAAGTCAGATAGTGATATTTCTTGTTTTGAAAGTGGTCATTTATCACCTTTTGTAGCTACACCAACAACAAGGATTACTGACTCGAGTAGTAAAGTTACAGATACCAATGAGAATACTGAAAAATTACAGTGCCTCAAAAATACTTCGCGTTTATTTATAAAGAAACCTTTGATGTTTATTGGTATTTCCAAAGAATGTTATTTTTTAATTCAGTGATTGCATAGACACATAAATATAAAAACAGAACACATTTTCTTAACTAGAGGATAATTTTGGTATATTATTATCTTATGCCAGTAAATAATTTTTAAGAAATTTACCAATATTAAGTAGTTTTTTATGACCATTCATTGTAAACTTAGACAAAAATTTAATAAAAAAGATTCTTCCTACACATTTAGACATAACTATCATAATGTAAGCTACGTCATCTATTGTCTAGAAATCGACATACAAAAACCATCAAAGGCTCTTTATCAGGCTATGACATGGTCAGAGTACAAAAAGAGAAATACTGTGTAGTTGAAAAAACAATACAAGTATATTTGACTCCTTCCTTGATAGCTTTCTGGCAGTCCCTATTGCACTGCATGCCGGCTCCACCCTTGGCTTACATTGAGCACATTGTAAAATTACTGTATCGCATATTTCATGGATCCTTATCTCAGGTATTGTCAGAACTTAATCCTTTAAATAGTTTTAATCTTAATTACTCTCTTTCACAGGATTTGATCATCTTTATTAGTGGAATTTTGTTATTTATGGCAGGGCAATACTTAAATTCTCCTGAAGAGATCCAGCAAATCACAAAATCCATAATCTCTGATGACGACTTTGCCTGTCTAAATTCCATAATGGCAGGCCAATTTTACATTCCAGCACATGAAGGAAAAACATCACTTCAAATCCTGCAAGAATCTACAGAATTAACCCCCGACCTTCACACCAAATCCACAAATCAAGCGGTCTCTGACGATGATCCTTATTATCTACAAGGATATGATCCTGACTCCCAACCTCAAGCTCTTTGTGATCCCTTGAATTGTCATGAGATGGGGGAAATGTTTGAGCTGGCTAAACTATTGACTGTTTCTGAAAATCCATCCACGCTAGAAATTATAAAGTTAATTAAATCAATATCCAAAATAAACATGAATGACTCAGATAAATTTTATACTCAGTACACCTTATTAACAAAGATAAGTGAAAATGATTGGGGATTTATAACGGAAGTAATTGTTAGTGCCGCCCAGCAAAGCTATCATACCCTATTATCCAGTATTGTAGGGATGCTCAAAATTTATCAATTGCAACATGCAAAAACTGTCAACACTCACATCACCTCCTTAGGCCATGTAACAGACGACTTAAAAACTACAACAAAAAGATTAACAGATCAGGTTGAAATGGACAATACATTCAATAGAGACCTCACAAAACAACTTAACCATTTGACAGCGAGC